AGAACCTTGTGGCTTAATGGTTAAAGCATCTGCCTAAGATGCAATACAGCACAGGCTCGATTCCCAGTAAGGGAATGGCTAGCCTATGCGGGCTAAATAGCTTGAAATAGATCTATACTAGTCTCCCTTTATTTATTTATCAGCACAAATACAACACACACACACACACAGACACACACACACACACACACACACACATATGTATGTATGTATATGTATGTATGTATGCACATGGTAGAAACTTCAGTGATTTTGATGGGATTATTTTTTTCAGTTGGGTAATTCTGTCAAACATGCTAAATGTCTGGAGTGCAGCACCCAGAAGCTGCAGAGCCATTGAATGCCTTATCTATATCCAGATGCCACCTAGATGTGTTCACTATCAATACACATCTGGAAAGTGATGACGTTAGGAAAAAATGGGATGAACAGCATCTCAGTAGATGTGTTATCAAAATGGAAAGTGATACCAAATCTCATTTTTTGAAACGTTACCTTGTATTTATTCAGTTTTGTTTTTAATACTGCTACAGTTGGAAATATTTATCATTTTGAGGCATACGTTTAAGGGCAAGTTATCAGCAACTAGACATATGTTGTATAATGTCATGAGCTAGAATAGAGAAGAACAATTTAGACAATAGAATCTAATACTATTGTAACTTGGGAGTTAAATACCATGGCAGAAGAATAATTTTCAAATTTGTTCTTGTTTCCTATTACTTGACTAAACAAAGAAAATATAAAAATAAGGGAAAGGGGGAAGAAAGAAGAAGGGAGAAGGAAGAGGGAAGGAAAAAGAAAAAAGGAAGGAAGGAAGGAAGGAAAGAAGGAAGGAAGGAAGGAAGGAAGGAAGGAAGGAAGATTATAATGAGAGTGAGGTCTGAGGGAAGTCCTGCCTTAGCACTTGGCCACCACAGATGCCCCTGATACGAGTGACGTCAAGCTGGCCAATGGCCACTCCCACCCCCAGCCAGCCCTATCCCCCCCAGCCCTCCAAGGTCAAACATAACCCTGATGCGGCCCTCAATGAAATTGAGTTTAGCCCTGCTATAGAATAACAATGATTTGGATTTTGAATTCTTATAATCCAAACTTCTTATAATTGTTAAGTGTTGATAATTAATTATCATTTCTTATCTTAGTTGATAGATGGCATTTTCTTGGACAGTGAACATTACTGTTGTCTGAAATCATGCTACAAGTTTGACCAGTATACCACCTGGCACATGCGTGCACACACTTCGCTGAAGAAATGGAAATGAAGCCACCAATGACTGGAATCTATTGCACTGTAGATTTTCTGTCCTGTAAATAAAATGGATTTTTACAATTTTCCTCTGAATTGTATATTATTAATGGATACAACTCCATAAATAACATAGTAACACAAACTGTCGACACAGTTTGTGGACCACTGTTTTAGGTCTGGAATATAAATAGCAGGATACTAATATAAATAAAGCTTTTTTAACCATGGTTTATGAATAGATTGGTTGCTGCAAAGTGTTAATGAAAAACTTCAGAATTCTTATGATTTGTATGAGAGTTAAGCAGCATTTTAAATCTTAATCACTAGAATAAGGGCTTCTTGTGAACTATTATTAGTATACATAGATTGTATTATAACTACAGTAGAAATGTGAACACAGAAAACGAAATGTTTTATAATAATTCTGTATGAAGTTTTATTTACATCGCCTAAAGTTCAAAAATACATCCTTATATAGATTACAGGTTCAACTGAGACCTGCGTGAGATTATATCATGTTTTTTACTGAAAGAAAGGCGATGCCACCAAGAAACTCTTCTTCCCAATTTTAAGCGGGTAGTCCTAAATTGAGAGAATATGTCCAACATTAACTCAACAAATTTGGCAATAGCTTAGTATTCTACACGGGGTAGTTATTTATAGAATCAAACATTAAACAGGAGAGGAAAAATCTTCAAAGAAATGGTCAAGTGTCTTGTCTTATGAAGATGAATAATTAACCTGAAGCAAAGAAATATACAGAGAGGAAGGTGATGTTAAGATATAACTTAGGAGCAAATAAGGAGCTCTGGGTTCCCTCATTCCAGGACATTTCTTCTAATCAAAGTTCCCTAAGGGTTGTTGGTTTGGACAGCCCAAGTCAAACAAAGGCTCTCTGGAAATTAATTAAGTCTCTGATTAGAGGTTAACTAACTTCCAAGGGTCTCATGGACTCATTGGCCATTGCTTTCTGGACTAGCATTGGTCTCCTTGTGCCTGGACTTAATTGGGACAGTTCCGGGTTTTTGATGTAGGGAATTGCTGGGGAATATTAATAAACCCACTAAAACGGGGGTGGGGTGTATGTGAGAGGGGGGAACAGCACAATTGTGGACCATGTCACCTAAAGAATTCTGACTGACTGGGTCCAGGAAGAGCGCCTTCTCTGCCATTGTTCACATCCTGTAGAACATTCTCTCCTTAGAGGTGATAGGGCCCCCCACTATCTTGGTTAAAATGTGATTCTATGGCCTTGCTTGGAGATCGCAGAAGAGCATGTAGCTATAGGGCTGGTTACTGCCTTGAAAGTCCTCCCCCCCACCATTTAATGAACTTTAATATTAATTTTATCCTATCCTTAATTGTATCCTACAATTTTTAAATTGTAAATTCTATGCACAGTTTTTATGTTTTTATATTTTTTACTTGTACACCACTTGTACACGTCCTCTATCAGATGGATCCATGATGGCGAACTTATGGCATGCATACCACGGGTGGCATACGGAGCCATATTTGCCGACATGGCAGCCCTCAGCTCCGGCATGCGCCAGCTGATTTTCGGCTTTCCGGGGGGGTGGGGAAGGCCGTTTTCACCTTCCCCAGGCTTCAGGGAAGCCTCTGGAGCCTGGGGAGGGCAAAAACTCCCCCCACATAGTGGGGTCGCGCACGCATACGCGGTGGGTGGGGCATGCGCATGTGGGCTATAGCCCGCACACACACAATTTTGGCACGCCTTTAGAAAAAGGTTAGCCATCACTGAGATAGATGGACGGTTTAAAAAAACTGATTAAACAATAGGTCTATGAATGGAAATGCCAAACCACCTTGGTTTTGGGTACTTTAGTTCTCTATCCAAGCTCAAATATTGTTAATAGCCAGGCACTGAGGTAAATACTTTGTGCCTCAGGCAGTTCTGAGTTTTCAGCCTCTTCACAGTCAAGAACTTCTACTGTTTTACTGAGGGGAGTTAAGTGTGCCAATCTGGTGAACTCCACTTCCAAGCAGGCTAGTAAAGAACTCTAGGAGGCATCATTAGAACTTGAGAATGAAGTAATTTGCCACCTAACATTGTCGCTGCCAGGACAGCAAAGGTTTCTTTTGGAGGCAAATTCTCCATATAGGATTTTCTGGCCCATAATGGCATTTTTGAAAAAACTGCCTTCGTTAGAACCAAACGAACTTGCCTCGACTGTCGATGACATAAAACGGTCGTGGTGATTTCTGAGAGAATGGGATACCTTGGGGGGCCAATTATAACTGCAGTAGGAAGAATTCAAAAATATAATTTTGGCTTCCTCCCTTGCCTTCCTGTTGGCCCTTGAACAAGCAATGATTCTGCTGCTTTCAGGTTCTCAGTGGAAAGCACATTAATGGACTTTTTACTGGCTCATGTCTGTGCCAGTTGAAATTCTGAGATTTCCCCCCACCCCCTCTGCTTCTGCTAAAACAAATGAGTTGTACTTATTTAAAAGCTAGCTTTTTCTGCATTTATATTTCAAATGACCACACTTGTATTCTTTGCTCCTTGAAATAACAAAAAGCAAAAGCAAAGCAATTGATTTATACTTTCTCTTTCATGGGAATTTTGAGCACAATGCAATCAAGAAGAAGGGGAAAACATGGACTCTTTGATACAGGAGCAGTGGTGTTTCAAACTTCACAGTGTGATAACAGGACAGCACAAAAATATTGACAAGGATTGCAAAGTTTGCTGTTGGTTTAGAAGTCACTAGGAACACCCTTTTCTCTCCAGCTGTCAAAGTAAAAGATGATTCAGGATAAAAATTTATCAAATCAAATCAAGGAGATGCTGATATAGATAGTAGCTTTCCATCAGAAAAAAAAACCTTAAAAAAAGGGCAAGCCAACTCAACAAGAGTGAAGATCAGAAACAAAAGACATAAAAATATTGTATAGCTTAGAAATTTCCAAGGCCTAATAGGAGGGGGAAAAAAAACATATAATCCTATGGAAGAAAACAAGTCACTGCAGAACAGGAGACAGGAAAGTGAAGTATGGAGTATGCCATCAGCCAATAATGAGAATCAATCAGGCACCATACCTGTAAAACGTATATATTTCCATGCTGGAGGTGATAAATGGACTAGAAGAAAGATTCAACTTCTACCCCATTATATTTTGGTTTTTAACTCATTTAATCTTTATTTTATTATTTAATGTTATAACATTTTGTACTTGCTTTTATGACGTTGTAAGCTGCTTGATAGTGAGATGGGCAACACGTAAATTTAATAAATAAAAAAAATAGTAAAGGTATCCATTATTAGTAAAACATGTGGATACAAATGAACCTGGAAAGAAACTACTGTAACACCACTGACTTTGAACATCTAGGTAAGGTAAAGGTTCCCCTCGCACATGTGTGCTAGCCATTCCCAACTCTAGGGGGCGGTGTTCATCTCCATTTCAAAGCCGAAGAGCCAGCACTGTCCAAAGACCTCTCCGTGGTCATGTGGCCAGCATGACTAAACACTGAAGGCACATGGAACACTGTTGCCTTCCCACCAAAGGTGGTTCCTATTTTTCTACTTGCACTTTTACATGTTTTCGAACTGCTAGATTGGCAGAAGCTGGGACAAGTAATGGGAGCTCACACCGTTATGCGGCGCTAGGGATTCGAACCGCTGAACTGCCAACCTTTCTGATCGACAAGCTCAGCGTCTTAGCCACTGAGCCACTTGAAGATCTAGGGAGGAAGCTCAGAAACCTAGAGCTTCCTTCTATCCTTTCACTGTAATAAAGAACATTGGAAAGGCAACTGAATGAGGGTTTTCCTGTCATTTTCAATTATTTTTGACTTTTTATCCTTGATAGACTTGGAAAGCTACCTACCACTTCACCTCCCACCCAAAAAGAATGTCTTTAAAATATATTGAAACCCAGAGACATCCTTGGCAGTGAAGCTGATGCTAAAGGGTTAATCTTTGCTTTGTATTTGGCCGGATATCTCTTAAAATATTTTAATGCTGTAATTAAGTCAGGAGAACAAGAAACCTTATTTGGAGTGTGTCTATTGATGACTTATTTTCAGTGCCAAATTGCTACTATTGCTTCATTGACACGGCCTATGGAGAGTCATTGACATAACTCTCTTCTAGAGTTCTGAGAGCAATAACGCCCTGGGAACTGGCATTTACATATTTAATTATGGTTGATTGGCAGTGGAGAAGATGGGAACAAGACACCTGAGAACTAAGCAAGCTGATTCGCATACACCGATTCACAGAATTTTAACACTTCAGAAATGTGGTCACAAATTTGAACACTGTGACCGTTGTTACATTTTATAATCACAAAGAATTTGGCATTTTTATCCTTGTGGTTTTTATGTGGTGGGCATACTTTAAAAAATTGGCACAAAAGTTGCCCCCAAAACCATTCCCTTGACACTAGTGGTGGGATTCAGAAATCTTTACTACTGGTTCTGTGGGTGTGGCTTGGTGGGCGTGGCTTGGTGGGCGTAGCAGAGAAAGAAGAGTATAAAGTCTCCATTCTCATCCCACTCCAGGGGAAGGTTACTGCAAAATCCCCATTTCCTTCCGATCAGCTGGGATTCGGGAGGCAGAGAATAGACGGTGGTGGGGCCAGTCACAGCTGGTATTTACCAGTTCTCCTCCTTCACTTTGCTTAAGGCTTTATGGATGAGTTTACTAAGCCAGAAATACCTATGCATAAACCAAACCACTGAAAATAAAGGCCATATTTATCTTTAAAAAAAATGGATATGATCAAAGTTTTCTTGCACCCCTTCTAATTTCATTCTGTTCCAAATAATAACAGTGTTGCTACTAAGCATCTTTAGTAGTCTTCTCAATGTCAGATTCTCTTAGATATGCAGTCCTCAAATTCCAGAAAGCTCTGCAATGGCTATGAATTTGGGAATTCCAAAACGGATATACACTTACCAGGAAGGAGTCCAATTTGACGAAGTCTACTCCATGGTTGTAATTGTGGTTCTGGTTCCTTGTATGTCTGAACATTTGGAAGCATTTCAGAATGCTGGTAAGCCTAGGACTGGGGTGCCTGTTATTGTAGGACACCAATAACAAGCAACTACCTTTG